TATTTGACATGATTTTTAAATATTCACCCATTAAGTAACACTTTAGTACAATTTTTATTCTGCTAAAATACATTTTTTACACTGAATTTTTTTTTAAATTATATTTGATTAATTTTACATTAATTGTCAAAAAAGATTTTTTTATAGGCAATTTATTATTTGATTCTTACCAATTGTTTTTGCAAATATTTTAGTCTGTTAAAACTGTATAGTTACAAAATTTAGTTTTTTTTCAAATACTCTATTTATGCAAAAAAAAAAACCTATTACTGTGAGTAATTTTGCACTCTTAAGTTATATAAAAAAATACAGGCATGGAAATTAGTTGAAACGTTTGTAATCGCACTTGGGAACAAAAATAGAATTAGCAAACCTGAAACAGAGAAAATTCCCATCAATTCAAGTTTTTTTCGCGATAAAAAAATTTTAGTAATCGTAAAAATTTCCTCGAGATGGACGAGAAACGTTACGTGAATCGAATTTTCCCCCAATTAAATATACATATATAGTATTTCATGCGTTATCTCTACTCAATAAAGTGTAACATAATCTTTGAAGCTCCTGGACCGACCGATGACGACGATCTGAAGCATCCCCCTCACATTCACAGTCTAGATGTGATTTGCAGTAAGACCATGATGACCATAAACATCGAATTCAACAGAGCCTTCGATGGCATTATTTACTCTAAGGTACTTGAATTAATCTGATATATTATACATTAACCCAGCCAACGTACCTTATTTATCAGAACATGCAGCCCTTGGTAATGCCACGTTTTTTGAACCTCCATTATGTTACAGGGCTTCTACAATATGCCCCAATGTAGATACGTTGAACAGAATTCAGGCCAGCCAAAGTATTCCTTCACCGTGAACCTCGACTCGTGCGGAACTCAATTCATCAATGACTTCGAAGGCGAAGCCGGCCAAGCGTATTTGGAGAACGTTTTGGTTCTCCAGGTGAGTTGCCGGTCAAACTGAATATGATCATACTAGCTAGTGTGCTAAAATTAAAAAAACAAAACCACCTAAACTCTGGCGTACAGAACGAGCCGGGCATCCAAGAGGTGTGGGACACGGTGCGCACCGTTCGCTGCCTGTGGGAGGGCAACATCAACAAGGCACTCACCGTAAGCCTGTCCGTGGACATGCTCAACCAGGAGATCGTGACCTTCAGCGGCGATACGGCGACCGCCAAGCTGGACATCCAGGTGGGCAAGGGTCCGTTCGCCCCCGCCGCCAATGGCCTCGTCAAGATCGGCGACCCCATGACTCTCGTCGTCTCGGTCGAGGGCGACCCTGGCTTCGATCTACAGGTAGGCCCCCCAACCGGGTTGCATTGCAATTCTTCGTAACTCCCTTTTTATTTCACGCGTTATATTTTCCCCTTAGGTTCGTGATTGCATCGCGCGGGACGATTCTGGCTCGAACATGTACCAGTTGACGGACGAGCGCGGCTGCATCCTGAAGCCAAAGCTGTTCGGTGCCTTCCAAAAGACCAACGACACCGGCAGCACCGGTGCCTCCATCATCGCCTACGCCTTTTTCCAGGCCTTCAAGTTCCCTGACGTCATGGACTTGTTCATCGAGTGCAACGTCGAGCTCTGCAAGACCAACTGCGAGCCCTGCCCCGAGGCCAACCAAGTAATTCATTTTCCTCGATATGGTTTATTTGATTAACTTCATACGAAGGATCGTTAAGTGGGTGGGAAAAGTTTTTTGATGATCCTCTCGAAAATTCTTTCGCGAATGCGAGAATTTAGGTTTTTTCTTTGAATTTTCGATTCCATTCTCACGAACTTGGTTTAATCGCAATCAATTTCATGGAAAGATTGTTCATTATGCCTTTGTTCTCTGTAAAAAGTATGTATTCCTTAAATAAACCACGAAAATCGGCCGGTGAGTAAAAACAATTTATCCAGGAGTGGTTTGGTTAACGGTTTGTACATTAAACTCGATAAAATATATGCATGGATTTCTCAATTTTACAAAGCCCCCGTAAAATAAAAACTAAAAATTGATACTTAGACCCCAACCGTGCATCACAAAGTTTTAAATAACACCTTGTACAATCTTAAACCACATATTTTATGTCGAGGGATAGATTTTCGAGGGAATTACACGCAAAAAGAGGATCAGAGGGGAAAAGGTTAAGGTACATTATGTAGTGTAATTTGTTGGGTTTACTTTAAAAATGCAACAAAACACTTGCACGGCACCGATGGATGACAAGATTGTCCATCCTATTTAACAATACCCATACTTCTGGAGTCGAATTGTCTCCCCCTCCCAAAGAAACCCACCAACCCCCAGAGATGCAGTACCAAATGGCACTCCTTCCGCGCTACAAACCAAGTAATTATCATTCCACAGCAAACCGAGCCAGGACGACGCAGACGCTCCATCAGCTACTCGTACCCCGGCAACTGGACGCGCGACCACGCGTCTGGCGAGGCGGTGCGCGTGGCTCGGGGCTTCCGAGTAGTCATGCCCGACGACCTGCCCCACGTGGCGGCTCTTCTCGACGAGGAGGCATCCCCGAGTGGCTACACCGACACGGAAGGGGAGCAGCAAATCATACGGGCCGAGGCCGCGGCGTTGGGCGTCTGTCTGAGCTACACGGGCTTCTACGCGACCTTCGTCACGATCCTGGTGGCCTTGGCCTTCAGCAGCATGAGCGCGGCCCTGCTCTACACCAAACTCCAGCGGATTCGGTACGAGAGGAAACTCGACATGCCCGCGTACTCGTGAGCTGCGCGAGTATTTCGCGTTTCGAGTGGTGTCGCGCTCTCGACGCGATCGTACCGCGACAAGATGACGATACCGATGGCAAAGAAACACCACGCGAGTCTTTGCTTTGCCAAATTTCAATTTATCTCGCGTGACATTTTGCGTTGAGATTTTTTTTTTTAGCCGGTAAATGAGTACGAAGACGCGATCACGCGAGAACTTTTTTTTTTGCAAGCGTCAATATGTTGTATTTTTAGGTAATAAAACAATAAAAGGGAATGACAATGATGCAGGTTGTCCGCGAATGATAACTTCCGTGGTGTCGTACGGTTTTCGTGGGTGTCATTTGTCTTCCGCTCATACGTTGATCGTTGACGTGTAAACAATTATTGAAACGCCCAATAAATAGGCCATCCACAAACAGTAGTATTTTAATGAATAACTACTCGCTTCTATTTTATTATTTATACAGAGGGACACAAACATAAACGAGACAATAACCGTTGAGTTTCTTTTTCCTGCTATCGCCTTGCACCAGTGGGTAACTTCAAACAACCTCAATTTTTATGATTATATTTGCAGTTATGAAAGAATATAAATAGAATCAAATTTAAATTTCTAATTTTAAAGAGCAACACATGTATTTTTCGCTTGGGTGCCATCTCGATTTTTAATTGCAATTGAGTGCTTGGATCTCGAGATTGGGAAAAAACCTTTTTGGAAGAGGTGAAGGCCGTGTGTTTTAAAATATTAACTTAACTTTTTTACAACAACATTTATTCAGAAATGTATTTTTTTTTTTTTTTTTCAATAATGTTGTACACATTTAATATTTCATATTATTGTTATTAATTGAAAAGAAGTTTAACTTTTTTAAATACATTGCACGTTCAGCATTTAATTAAATTAAATTTTTTACCATTAAATAGTGCCTCACAGTTTATACAATTCAATAGAGTAAATTAGAAAAAAACTTTTTTAGTACATATTAATAATAGTGAGAAAATTTATCCAGATTTTTCTTAGGATTTGAGGACACCTTTTTTTTCTTTAAGAAGTGGAAAGAAAGTTTTTATCACGACGAAAATTATTAGATTTAAAATCTTTTTGGAACATGATTTAAATTATAACTATAATGTCATTGAAATTCATGTCGAAACAGCACCATATTTTATATAATTAACAATACTAATATTTAAAAAATTTCAAGTCCGTAATCAAGGATATTTAGGGATCAAATATTTGTGTACGAAAACGGATGAAACTTTTTATCATCATTATTTGATACATAATTATTCAATGTATTTTTTTTAATTTAACCACCGAATTTGCAATAAAATCTATACTTTACATAAAATAGGCTCTTGTGAAAGTTCGAGCATCTACCGTTTACGATTCGATGTTTCCGTACATTCCATGTAAAAAAAAAAGACAAAATTCAGAGACGTCATAGATTTTAATTCCAAAGATTAATTTGACGTGATGTTGTCTCAAAATAACCGCGCATTTCAAAGTGTTTGATTTCCTAATCTAGCTAAAAAATTATTTGACCAACTTAACATGAATTTGAAAAGAGTACATTGAATTTTTTTTATTGTAAGTAAGCAGCTATGAAATTTTTCCATGCTCACATACGCATGTCTCCTCGGTCCTCGTAAAATCCTCTCTGACATAATGAAAAATTCTAAAATTTACCGTAAAACTCGTTGAACTAGTTGTACACCCAATATATTTACATACTTGGACACAGCCAAAATTAATACCAATTTTTAGTTAGTAAAATAGTTATAAGATTTTAAAAGAAGAAGCATTAAGTAGTGATAAGAAAAAACTTAAATTATTTACACGATGAAGTATTAGATTCGGTAAAAGTAAGTTTCAACGATTACAAAAGTTAAGAAATTTTTGTTTGCAATAAAACTATTAATATTGAATTTTTACCCGTAAAAATGTGCCCAAGTACTAAGTGCTGTATTTGCAAGCGTTGATATGTTTAATATTTTATACACATACCTACAAATTTAAAATACGTATACAACACAAAAGTGTTAGTTCTTACAAATACTGAAATAGTCTGTAAATAAAAAAAATTTTTTTTAACACTACACATCTTGTAAATGTTATACAACTATATTTTCAGTAAATTATTAAATAAGAATACTGTATCATCAAGAGTAACGCATCTAAGTTATAAAATTTTATTCTATGTAATATTATATAATTTTTGTCTGATGCTTATTTATATAAACAAATGGCTTAGGTAAACTAAAAAACTAATGATGTATTTTTATAGCCTAACATCATTGTTTGAATAACCACACTAAGATATGATAAAATGTTTACTTGGTAAAAAGAAAATATATCTTGAACATGTCAAATTTTTTTACAGGGTTACGAATATTTGAAGAATCATATACTGTAAAAATAAGATGCAATAATATTTTAATATATGGGCGTATTGTAAAAGAATAAAAACAAAAAAGCAATGTTACTTATTATGTAGTAATATATAGATTACAACATTCTTGTTTTGAGTATAGCATACGCTAATTAATATATCATGTAAGAGATCAATTGATGATATAAGTGAATGGAGCTAACGAAAATGCGATATGTCAGTACTGATGGTTGAACGATAAATATTTTATAAAATGTATCAAATAAAAAAAACTTTATCATGATTCTGTAGTTTGTTTTAAAAAACGCTGTGATTTGTAACATTTTTTGCTCTTACCTCTAAATTTGGCGTGAAAAAAGGTTAAGGTGTAGATTTTTCGAGGGGCAAAAGAATTTTAAAATTAGAAACTTTTCTGAAAAGTTCTTTTTAAAATATCCGCATTAGACTCTTTCTATTCGCTAAAGCAAGAGGAAATATTTAAAACTTTCCTTGTCTCCGTGTCTGCTAAGTTTTAAATGCCATTCTGTTGCGATGTGTTAATGGATATTTAATGTAACCGTTACTATTCTAATTTAAAAAATTCATTTTTAAACATTTTTTAATTTTATTGTCAAACTTGAAGGAAATCCAAATACTAAATCAACGTTTCCATCTTCATTGACTTTGTCCATTTTGATAAAGCAAGAATTAAATTATACGTTCCTTTATACTAAATGATGGTACTACAGTTTCGTTGACTCCACACTAGTTTTACTTTTTTCTTCCACTTCAAGAAAGAAAAAATGTACCATTTTTTCAAAAATCGTAACCTATGGTTATACACTTAAATGAAACCGAGATTTAAGAAATCGCTTCCAAAGAACAACCTAAAACTCTTGTCAAAACATATCAATTGTAAAAATATTAATTTTCATTCAAAAGATGCATGAAATATCTATACATGTTCTAGTTTATTTTTATGTATGTATACATCTTTTATTCATTAAGAGAAAAACTTAATAATTAAAATAATTGACAAAAAGTTGTTTTTTTTTCTAAAATTTCAAATAAAGTGACTAAGTGATACTACTAAATCATTTAAAAATTTTACTTCATGAAAAACAAAAACATCATTGACACAATCACAGATCAAAAGTTAACTCTCGTGTTATGACAAAAACCATACTTATGTACTTTGCTACATAACATACGTGGCAAAAAACTATTTTTTCTACCAAAGGCACAGTAAACGTCCAAATATCACGAAAGCGCTTCGAGGTACAAAAATTACTTTATTTAAACATAGTAGTGATTCGTTAAGTGAAAATATTTCGACCGCTAAGGCAATCATATACCGCAACGTGTAGGTTGTAGTGAAAGATAAGTGTTGCATTAACTTTCCTAGTATCTTTGCTTACTTGAACATAAATTTTGTAATAGCTTATTCTGCCAGGAAATTAGTGCCTGAACAAACAATAAAAAAAGAATGACTTAAGCTTCTAGAAAATACTCGACCAGACAAGGAGCGAATAGTTGTTCGAATGAAAAACTACGATAGTAACGTTCTTCAACATAAATCAGTGCTTATTATCTAAAACTAAATGACTTGATAACAGCCGCTTTGTACTGTCGATGCTAACATAGTTTGTCACAGTAAATCGTAAATAATTAAATGACCATTACCAAAAAAGTAGATAAGTAAGTAAATTTCATTTTTACCTGTGATGAAAACTATTTGGTGTAAAATAATAAAAATTAAAGTAGCCAATACAATTTATATGAGACCAACAAAATGATAATACATCCATTGTAACATGCATGCAAAACATGTCCAGTTAAACAATTTTTTTTGACATCCGTGCCAGAGACAGCTTCTAGTTTTATGTATACAAAAAATGGTTTTCAACAAGTTGGCTTGTTTGAACGGGATACAATTTATGCTCGTATGTCTCGGAATGTCTGATAGTTCTTTGTCAAAGCTTCTTTAAAACTTCATTAAAAATTGTACGATTTCCTTAAAAAAATTCATGCATTTAAAAAACATTAACAAGAGACAAAGAAACCATATCAATTAAGAGTAAACGGATAAGTAAAAGTAGATACTTAAAATAGCTCGCGGTCTGATTGTTAAGGTGGCGTGTGCGGGACTCTAAAGTGAATGTGATAGTTAAAAATTAGGTGTTGTGTGTAAAAATATAAAAAACCGTGTCCTTAAGGTATATATTCGCTATAAAAAAGTTACTTTTTGTAGTTAGGTACACTAAAACATACATGCTGATGTCTTAAAATTATTAGCAACCAACTTGATGGTTGTTATTTGACTTTGATGATCATATTCGACTAGAAGTCGCTTTCTCAACTATATTTTCAGCACTTTTAAATGTAGCTAACGAGTCATAAACTGATACTTACCTCGGGTTTTTAGTAGAAATTTGATTTTATTGATGTCAATAGTGTAATGAATAACATTTTAAAATCTTTTTTAATGAGTCTAATATTAAACAGACATGAAACAAAGAAGCTAAGCCAAAATGTAAAATTAACTTTTTTATAGCGAATATATACCATAAGTTGTTTTGTACATTTTTACTCACAATACTTAATTTGTAACTATCAAATTGCGATCAAATGTGAATAAATTTCCATATCCCGTTCAAACAAGCCAACTTGTTGAAAACCATTTTTTGTATACATAAAACTAGAAGCTGTCTCTGGCATGGATGTCAAAAAAAAATTGTTTAACTGGACATGTTTTGCATGCATGTTACAATGGATGTATTATCATTTTGTTGGTCTCATAGAAATTGTATTGGCTACTTTAATTTTCATTATTTTACACCAAATAGTTTCCATCACAGGTAAAAGTGAAATTTACTTACTTATCTACTTTTTTGGTAATGATCATTTAATTATTTACGATTTACTGTGACAAACTATGTTAGTGTCAACCGTACAAAGCAGTTATTTAGTTTAGTTACCGATCTACGTCTGGTTGAAGCTCTTCAAATTTCTGATATCACCAAAAAGCATATTGCTAATTTTTTTTTTTTTTTTATAAGAGAACCTATACAAGATCATAAATAAGTTTGGTGATACTTTATACATTGTGTGACGACAAAAACAGTGGAATTGGTGGTCATTTTCACTTATTCGAGTTAAAGCCATCTTTTTCTGCATCACTACAGTTTTTGGGAAATTAGTAACACACTTGCCTAAAGTATAGTAATTCCAGTGTTAGCTTGTGTGTATTGTATCAGAATAAAAATACGACATACCTCAGGTAGCTGTAATTTTACTCTTGTTTGTGCAATCACGGCAACGACACGTGATGCTTTTACCCAGTCAATGTGCTAGACTGTCGTTTTCTCAAACTGTTCAAGGTGAAATGGATGAACCTACGACGGTGCGAGTGGTAACACCACGTGTTCACCCAAAAGTTTTTAATTATGAGATCAACAAGTTGAATCTTGGTGATTTTGAAAACTTTTCTGATCCAATGGTTCGAGCTAAATCCACGCCAACTTCAAAGAAAGCAGAAAAACGTGGTGCTAATACATCTCCGGGTGTAAGCAGCAAAATGGTCAAGACCAACGATGACCCGATTGTCAGCTCATCGTCTGTAGACGCTGCGACGAAGGAATACTTGTCACCTTTAGTACCATCTGATCTTCTAGATGAAAAAGATATAAGCAGTACAAACGAAACTGTGGTGTGCAAATTCAATTTTCAATGTCATATTGGGATTCCTTCGAATCGTGAGGATCTGGAAATAGATGCTGATGATTATAAAGAATGGCTGAACGAAGTCCACGTGCGGGTAAGTTACACGGTTCGAAATTCATTTAATTCTTTTTTTTTTTTTTTAAGGAGCAATTGTTCGCGTGTATCCCATTAATTTATAGACCAAAATTAAAATCTATTTTTTTTCATTCAACTGTTTTTATTGTTTTTAAAACTGACGTTGATCAGAAGGCAGGTTATACAGTATTCAATTACGACGGAGCGTCAGGTTTTTAAGTTTGTAAATATTTTCAAGATATCGCTGATTAAAATTCTTTTTTTATTAATGCGAATTTTATGGCATAAGATTACCTCATACACAATAAAATTCAGTAAGGTCATTTAACCACAGGTTACTATTTAAATACTACCCATTGAAAAAAAAAATTTTTACATTTTTTCCTTCTTCAAAGGAAAGAAAAGCTAGTGCGTAGTCGATGAAACTGCAGTAACATGATTGAGTCTAAAATAAAATATCATTTCGCCAAAGTACACTTTTAATTTTTGTTTCATTTCACTCCAGACATCAAGATATAAAAAATTAAAACAGGATAACGAAAAGTGAAGTCAGTGCTCTCTTCTACTATCTGCGGCCGCTCGTTTTCCACCTACAAGTTCAACGAGAAGAGCATCGCTACCAAAAAACTGAGGTCGAACTTTTTTGGATCCCTTCTATGAATACATATTGTACCTCAAGTGTTTTATTAATAGCTTATGTAAAGAGGATTTTATAAAAAAAAAAAAAAAAAAACTAAAATTAAAACGAAAATCATCATGAGGATAAAAAGTATAAAAACAGCCACGAAAGATAATTTTTGACGAAAAAATGAAACTTGAACTAAAATTCGACCTCAATACCAGAGAACAGACAGCTTTGAAAAAGTAATAAAAAAAAAAAAAAAGTAACTCATCACAATTAAACGATGCAGAAAGACGCATCGCTCGTATAAAGTAATCAGTGCTGTAAAAGTCAGGGCCGCTCTCGCTTGTTACATCCAGTGTGTCGACGTGTATGTACATCATGTTTACATATGTGCACAAAGCCGGGAGCCACGGTTAGCCATCGTTCAAGGCACGAGGTGACGACCTCAGTAGCAGTCGGTGATTGACGGCGCACAGAAGAAGAAAAAGTGTTACATGATAGTTGTTGTCGTCTTCGTAATAACGAATACTTTACCCACGAATGCGCGGAGATTAATGTAACCGTTACTATTCTAATTTAAAAAATTTATCGATTTCTAAGTGTATTAATAAAAGTGATCAACACCAAGATTTATTTTTTATTTTACGAAAAGACTAAACAAATAATCAGCGTGTGTCAGTTATCTTGATAAACTTTCAGTTCACAGATGGAAAAAAAAAACTTTGGATGAAAACGTGTTTTTGACATCTATGTAAATGTACACGATTCATGCGTGCGTTTACTATCAGATATTAAGAAGGAAGAAAAAAGGGTAGCTGTTTTGTCAAGGGCTTTGATGAATACGTCGCGATTAAACGTTTATTTTATATTCACTCTACGACGGCTGTAAATTCAAATACTCACAGATTATGCAAATGACTTTCGGTAGCTCGAGCTATCAGTGGATACAATGTCACAGTTATCGATCGAAGTGATCGACTCAGTATAAAAAAAAAAAATGACATAAGCTGTAATAATCATTTGGAAAAAAAAAAAAAAAAAAAAATAAAGGTGCTACGAACGTACGTGACGTCAGGAGCTAGCGTTTTGTCAATACCAGAACTACTGAAAGCGCAAAGCTGGAGACGGTATAATCGGGATTCATTAGCAACTAAATCAAGTGCACTCCGATACGGGGGGCTATTGTGTCATACAACGTCACGCAGTGCGCATATTTTAGCACGAAATGAAAATATTTCGTGTGATGCTATGCACGAGAACAGTGANAAAAAAAAAAAAAAATAAAATAAACGTGCTACGCACGTACGTGACGTCAGGAGCTAGCGTTTGCTCAATACCAGAACTTTTGAAAGCGCAAAGCTGGAGACGGTATAATCGGGATTCATTAGCAACTAAATCAAGTGCACTCCGATACGGGGGGCTATTGTGTCATACAACGTCACGCAGTGCGCATATTTTAGCACGAAATGAAAATATTTCGTGTGATGCTATGCACGAGAACAGTGAGAATAACACTGCAGTGTAAAATAATCTAAGTTTCGTAATCCCAGTGACTATTCATGAGTGATGACTTAGAAAAATGTAAAAAATGTATGGCTAAGAATCCTCACGTTCGCTTAAAAGTTTAACGATTTGTCAAGTGCGCGTGTGAGACTTGCTATTATTGACTTTTCGGTTTTCCATGCACGTGTAGACAGCTTCTGAGTGTGCGATCACATATTGTTGCCTGCGTTCGTCACTGAATGTTGACAATGAGTCCGGTGCGAAGAAGATGACCATCTAGTACATAAAAAGTCAAAGAGGTACATATTTCCTAAAATTGTTTTTAAAGCCATGACACATTGACGTAATATTAGCACATGTCACATTAGTTTTTTACGAAAACGCAAGCAATTATCATGTTACTCGTGGTGCTCTGCATCAAATCATCAACAAAATTAAGTTTTATGTCGATGAAACAAATAATATAATAAGAAATAATAAACAAATAATTTAAACAATATTTGTATTTTTTAATTTATTTTTTCATAAATTACTTACATTTATAAACATTTTTTATTTAATTAGTTTCGAAAGATTAACAATTTTCAATTTATAGAAGTATCTAATTTTTTGGCAGTTTGGTATCATTTTTAAAATATCATTCATGCGAATTTTTTTTTCATAGCATCATTTGTTTGTTGAAAATTTGGTAATATATGCCAAAAAAGATGAGATAAATAATTGATAGTAGGAGAGAAAATTTATTCTCGAAAGAGTCGCAGAAAGATTTTATTTCGTTTTGAAAATCCTGAATAAAAAATATGCGTTATATATACTTTTTTGTTAACATAACTTATTGTGTTATTCATGTACATAATGTATGTTTCCATGCCACTATTTTTTGTATGTCTCATATTCTATTGAAATCGTTAAACAGGAAACAACAGAGCATGGTTGCAATCAAGCGATTATGTTGTAAATCATCTTTTAATTTTTATTTACACAAAACTACAACGATCACGACAACGACAACAGCAACCACAATAAAAACAACAGCATGGGGTCACAAACATTAAAAATAACATGCTCTTGCAATACATTTGATTTTGCAGTACATAATATGTTATGTACGATTAAAAGAAAAAGCCAAACTATGATTATTTTAATGAAATAAATTGATGTGATTAAGTATCTGAACGAGCGTACAATCATTTTTCAGAAGCACACGTAAGCTAAAAATTAATGCATTGTTCTACTGAGTTCAAAAAAAAAAAAAAAAAAAAAAATTGCTTCTCATATTTTGGATAGTGAAGACTCAACTTTGGAGCAACAAAAAAATATCTGGGGCATGAGCAAATGGACAAAAAAACCACGAGCAATTTTTTAACTTCTGTCAGCCGTATACTGTCGTGATTTTCTCTAATAAATATTGCGTGATGACTGCTAACGACACAATGATAGAAGCATGATGTGCAAGGCATAAACAAGCACGGTCGGACACGCGCGCACATACGCATATACGCGTTTCTTAGAGACATCAGTGACATGTGCATCATTCACATGAGTGCTTCTAGTAACAACTTATGAGTCTTCTGCTTAAAAATTAAAAAAAATGTTTTTTCTTTGAGCCACCTTTTGCCTTCTGTAATGTAGATAAGTTTGTTAACAGTAAATATGTGAAATGTAATAGTTCTTGCAAGCTATTTAGGTTTTTCAAAGTATTTCCTCTACAGGGTATGTCGCAGTTCGGAGTTTTTTTTGGTAAAAATTTTTTTATGTAATATATCTTCTTCATATGCCGTACGACAATGCCACATTTATGTATTTATATGCGTTTAAAGAAATGGAGAATGAGAGGGACAATCATAAATATAAGTCGTAAATAACAGCTTAAGGAGTTCTTTTTCTTCGTAAGTGCCTTTTTTTGTCACTGTAAAAAAAATTTACTGCTTTTGCTATTCTAGTGTGTCTAATTACTTAAACATATGATTGCTTAAAAAAGTTTTTGCAGACAACACACTACAAATGTAAACGTAAAGAAAATAGTACCAATAATAAAAAAATGACAATAATAATAATAATAATAATAATAATAATAATAACAACAATAATAATCGTGGTAATAGAAATAAAACGGGCAATAGTAGTTGCCGTCATATATTTAAAATGTCGTACACCAACAGCACATTGCAACGTTCATGCTTGTTACGTGAAGATTTTATTGATGCACGTATTAACATATCACTGTGTACACACATATATACAAACTTTTATTGTTACGTGCAGCACGTGCACTTTGTTAGTATTGATGAACTACCATTCGTTAAAATAGGGAAAACTAGATGATTTCGTTGTTATTTGTAAATCAAATTTTTAAGGAATGATTCTACTTTTCCTGCTGTGCAATATCTTCCCGTAAAAATGATTCAGTTATTCATGACAAAGAACATATTATTCCTTACGGTTGATTATTTCTTTAAGTGGATTTTTAAACTCATTAGAACTGAATAATGAAAAAGTCCAAAAAACAAATGATTAATTGGTTGCATTATAATGGTTAGAGAATGTTTTTAAAACAATTTTTGCTGAAAATAAAAAAGTGATGTCATCATTGAACCGACAATGAATACATTTTTATAAATTAAATTTCAGATGAGCATAAGATTTATTTACTTTAACATATACACAAAAACATTTATTAAAGTAGTATGATAAAGTTATTCCTCATACTTTTTTTTAACAATCACAGTAAATATCTAAGTTTGAATCTTGAAATAGATCGTGTTTGTACACGATAAGAAGCCAATGACGAAATAGATATTTGATGCGTCAGCTATCTTATGCCTATACAATATCGATTTCTTCATGTAAACTGGACTTCGTATCGTGGACTTTCAGAAAAAAAGTTATGTATTACAAAACTGATATCTCATATTAAACATTGTTATGCATAATAGTAAAGAATACCTTATATAGAAGAAGGAAATGATCTTGGGTATAAAAAATTAATGTAGGATTAGATAAAAACAATTGTTGTCTTTATTTTATTTATTTTTCAACAGTATTAATATATTTAAATTCTTAATCATCACTAACAGAAAACCGTAATCTTGACTACATCTTTTGCTCAAATAAAAAAAATTATTCAATGAATCTATCAAATTAATACAGAAATAAAACATTATACATTTATAAAAAAGGTACGATGAAATATTTACTCGTTTTTATCAATCGCTGATAAAAAAAAAGTAGGTATAAAAAAAAAACCATGGTCGCTATTACAATTAAAGACATTATTACACGTAAATACTAATACTTAAATTAATAATTTATTTTTCTTGGTAAATAAACACCTTGTTGCAGCAAAAAGACAAATTTATCCTCAGAAGTTAATTTGACAAACGTTAAATGTTATTAAGAGATATTGAAAGTCATCAGAAATTTTTTTTTCAAGTTTTGTTACATTTTAAATTTTAATTTAAGGAAGTCTAAATCTTATAGTGGAATTTTTTAATGTAAAAATTTTTAAAGATTTAAGTACGACAGACAGTCCTTAATCTAAAATGATAACTCCACTTTTCTACTGCAAAATATTTTGCATCCTCTAAATAAAGATCATCCTATTTTTAAAAAACGTGAAAAGCGTATAATAAATAAAAATACGAAAGCACAAAATTGGAAATTTTTATGTCTAAAGATATGATACGATTAATGTAGACAGTGTGAGTTGTTGAACCATCAGTTTAAATCTAGCCTGTCGTAATATAATTATAATTGGGGCCCCTTTAGCGTAAGCTTGTCTTTCTTACAACACTTTGAATAAAAATTTGTATGGATATTAATTTCTTCCGCATGTTCATGCTTATCAACATTTCACAACCCTTCAATTATACCGATAGCTTTTGAGATGTACTTAGTCATCGTCACATTCTATGTTAACCTTTAACTTTTCTTTTGATAAATACATATATTTTCCGCTAACATATTATTATAATTTTATTAACCAATATATGTATATATTTACTATACACTTTTATTATTGCAATTGTACCCTCGGCTATCTTTAGTCCATCCACCCACAATAAATTAGTGTTGGCAGAACATAATATGTTATGTACGATTAAAAGAAAAAGCCAAACTATGATTATTTTAATGAAATAAATTGATGTGATTAAGTATCTGAACGAGCGTACAATCATTTTTCAGAAGCACACGTAAGCTAAAAATTAATGCATTGTTCTACTGAGTTCAAAAAAAAAAAAAAAAAAAAAAAATTTAAATATGAGTTAACCACCCTCCGTAGAAAATCCCATGAAGCGCGTGCCGCGGTCTATTTGTCCTGCTTCGCTCAATAGTGTATTACCATCGGTATGATCGTCAACGCGTACGAGGGAGTTCCTCCCTCTTTTGCCGAGCACTCGGGCGCGCCATTACCCTCGGATGGTGAAACGAGTTCTGTCCACCGAGCGAGAGAGAAATCCCAAAGGGGCGACCGGTCACAAGGGGGGGTACAAGTGTTGGTGTATATAACGCGATACCTGTCCGTCGTCCCTTTTTTTTTGATTTTACCGATTCTTTTCCCTATATGTAGCACCCGCTCAAAAGAATCTATTTTTATACACGCCGAGTCGCGCTGCCTCCCTTTTTCTCACCACCGCCAGCGTACCCCCTTTTCTGTAGCAAATATTGCCGGGAGGGGAAAGGTAGCTTTTTGCGTTTAAGAATAGCTCCGGGGCATAAAGTTGGGATTTCTTGTTATACATGCCCGATACTCTTGTATAACAAATTCGAGGCTCCCTAGGTGGGTGGGCTCTGCTCTTTCGAGTGAATTATAAAACATGGCTCATCGACGGTTGCGTTATCATTTATTTCTTGCATCGTAATATGAAAAGGTCAGTCACCGGTATGTGTATATAAATACACATCATGCCTAGGAAAGGTACGTTGTGAGGTGAAGATGGAAAAAAAAACTCAATTACCGCGTGAAAGTAGCCCGAGTCGAAGAAAAGGGGTGTAACGACGTCTTTCGTTTTTTCACCTTTTTTTCCCTTTCTTGATTTCACTCTGCACCGCAACTTACACACAATGTTATGGCGATACCAAAGAAGTTACAGAATAATAAAGAAAGGAAAATAAAACATTTATTTTATCTTTCAAATGCATNACTTTGAATGATTAAAAAAAAAAAAAAAAACAAATTAACTTACTTTCTTTTGCACAATTCCACTGACAAATTTTTTCGCCATAGGAAGATTTTAAAAAACTTGGCTCAATAATCATCTGATTAACCAGCTGTAATGTATGCGATACACTGACAAATGGAGTTTCAGAGCTAGAATAGCTTGAGCTCGACTGACGCAGAGGCTGACTTGGTTTATGGTGGTTTTTGGACTGCGTTGTAGTAAAAACCGGAGTTGTGACGATTTTTTGAGTCTCTTTGAGATTTTTCGAGATCGTGTCGGCTAGTTTGGCTCTCCGAAGTCTGTCTCGGCGTCTCCGCGCTTGTCCTTTTTTTGCCTTTTTCTTTACCCCTAATGCCTTTTTTTGACCACATTCAAACTCCACTAAAAAATAATTATAATTTCAATAAAACACAAATTTTTAATTTCCAAATAATGTTTTATTGTTCGTCTTGACGAGCTACTCTACTCTGAGCACAGTTTTCCCGGATAATATTTTCAGACCACCCGGTATGACTCTCGGCGAATAACAAATGAGACTTACTTTGTTGGCCACGAATAGGACTATTGGAAACTGTTGATTGACTCGTTTGGTTAATTGAATGACTGGCAGAGCTGCTACAGTTGAATGAGTCGAAACCCCAAATGCTTGGGTGGCTGACTCATTTCGAAGTGAATTTCGGAGCGTTTATGAACCATGGCATGGCGTACCAAGCGACAGTTACATGCTAAATGTAGTTATCAGGAAAAATTTCTTTATCGGAGAAAAATTACGGTTATCTTGATTACTTCTTCGACGATGAAGATTTCCGAAGGATAGTGTTAAATTTTGAAAATGGATGTATGGTTACAATGTAGATACTGTGGTGATGGTAATGGACCAACAAGTAGTTGAATCTACGTTTGTGACTGTTTACAAAAGTTTTGTTCAACTGTCAAAGGCTCTAATAGTTGACTTGGATTAAATTTAATGACATAGTTGTTGAAATTGTCAAAATTTTACCGAGTGTATTAAAAACTATGGGTGAAAATCAGTGAGTGAAAAATCAATATAATGAAAAAAAAAAAAATGTTTAATTTAAATCACAAGTTTATAATCTATATAGTTTAAAATAGAAAATAGTTTGGAAAAACATCATGTTTGTAACGTTGGCGATGAAAAATTGTAAAGATAAAATAATATGGCACTTGTTTGCAAAAACAAGAAAATCGAAGTAAAATTTGTTACTTTTCGGATAGGAGGTTTCGTACGAAAAAGACGTCAATCATATTATAGGTAAACTCGAGGCGTTCGTTATACGTCTCTTATCTTTACTGTACATAATTTATCTGTTTGGATAATACGTTGAAAGCCTACTTGCAGTATAATGTAAAGTTGACTTAATTCGTTTTTGGCTTCCAGGTAAGGTGTCTAATTTATACTAATTAATCTATTTTGTTTTCTTTATGAATTGCATTGATTATGTAGATGTTGTGTAAAATGTTAAAAGTACAATTCCTTTGTCTTCGTGATACAACTAATCGTTGAAGTGGATGTACGGTCGAAAATTTAAAAAAAGTACTCATGTAAGGCCCAAACCTTTGTAATATAATAAAAGAGGTAAAGTAATTTAAATAATTTTTTAAAAACAGCACTAGTAAACGGTACATTGTAAGTTAAAAATATACAATTTATTTAAAAAAAAATAGTTCACAATACCTAACTCTGTTGATGGGTGCAAGTTACGTTCTTTTTCGTTTTTCGTTAATTTAAAAATTCTTAAATCATTTGTTTTAATAATACCTAAGATGCATATTTAACTTATCTGACCCTACTGTGATAGCTCCAAAAATGAGGTTTCGATCACGATGAAATTTTTCACAGCGCAGAGATACGTCGATGGGGTGGGTCGTACACATTAATTAAATATAACAGGAGTTAACAGATTAATGAGGGGATCGACGAATAATATTGCCTTGCATGGAAATAATTTTATTTACCTTTCTCTGCATATTTTCTGAAGCATTTTTAAAACTAAAAATTCATTTCAATAAAAAACAAGCACATTTTAGCGATTTACCGATTTTTTTTTGATGGGATGAAATTCCACACCTGTAAATGCAAAGCCACCCCTGAATACCCGCAAAGTGTCACCAAAAAACTTAAGTTTGGTCGTAAAAACTTTTTTTTTAATTTTCAAATCTGTTTTTTTTTGCTCCTTGAACGATTACCCACAATACACTACAATAATCGTCGGTCTAATCATACGCAGTAGGTACTACGTACGTCAAGTGTGATGTAAGAAGTTATGGAAATTTTTTAAATTATCAATAATAATGCTTTTTTAACATGTTTACAACAAGTTTTTTGATCTAATTTTTAATACATCAAACAATCCATCTATTTGTTCTCAAATCTTGTGAAGCAATCGAATTTGTTGTTAAAGTTTAACAGCATTGCTCACTCTCTCACTCAATTGATTTTAATTTTTCTAAATTGAAATGAAGCCTCTTTTTTATCGGCACATTGTTTCTTCCTTATCAGCCGTCGAACGCAACCAAACGACAGGCATATCGTAGCAGACGAATCGCTGACGACAGACGTGACGTAAATCACGTAAATAAAAAATTTTTCTTCAGTCACAATAATGTGCTCAGTTTTTTCATTCCGCATAATTGGAAACAGCTAAGTTTTTTATTGGCAAGCAAGTTTTTCAGAAAAATTGGAGTGATTCGTTCGTAGCTAATTGTCATGTTAATGGTACTGACATAATGTATATAACTGACAGCAAGAATTTAGAAAACCACAAGAATCTAACCTCAAAGATGAGGAAAGTTTGCTGTTGACAGCCAAGACGAAGACACGGTGCAATTAGTGCATTTGTGCATCGCACCAGTTTTGGCTCTATCTATTATTATATATTATACTTGATGCTTCGCTCCTCATCGCTGCTCGAGAATCTACTTGGTGGAATCTATTTTTAAGAAAAGAGCCGACGACAACCGTAGAGTAAACATAAGGCCTCTCTTTTCTCGTACTGCAACGTAAAAAACTCGAAAAGTCCCAGTACAATTTTATGTTTTTAGTGCTTTGATTAAGTATACCAGTTACAGATATTTTAATAATATACATGCATGTACGAGCTGGTTGTAAAAAGCCAACGGTGGAACAAACTGCCGATTATCAGCGACGAAAACAAGGTGACTACAATGTCTAGTCTACTTTTCATAATATTTATGGTATACGAGTATTAAAGTAATTAGTGACATTATCAACTCATGTTTGCTCTCAGTGTTTTGAGATGCCACAATTATTAGAACTTTGGTACTAAAGCTCTTGGTACTTAAAGATTTTTTCGTACACGCGCTCGCATTTCTATTATTTTGTCCCTTAACACTTGAGAGTCTGAGAATTGAAAAAGACGGAAAACGAGGGAGTACGATGCGTTTATCATTGGTTGTTGTCAGCAGAAGCAGCCAAAGTGATAAGTATGCACTGCAGGCATCATAATCTTCAATCTGAGCCTGCATGTATATGTACCAGAAGCATGATATAACTGTGGGCTTAAAATTTTGGTTGTCATTTTTAAGTAAATAAGCATGAGGCAACCAAGCGTTGACGGTTTTTTAAATAAATAAAAAAATCAATAACAAAAAATACATCCTTACCTTTATTCGTATTGTTATAGTCAAATTTTACTGCTTACTGTCACAAACAAGTAGTATTAGTGAATTGATATAGATTAATTGCGTAATCCTGGGAATAATCAACTTAAAGCTTCGTGTTTTTTTTGTTCAAGAGCACTCGTGTCGTTCTTAAAATACTCCAGTATTTGTTTGGAGTTCTCTTAATTAATGCAAGTGTTGTAATGTCTCGGTGAAAAGTATCTTCAAGAAAAATATTTTTCAGTTATACTTAAATAATGCAAGGACGTTATTAGTAATATGTCTATTTTGAAATATTAATGTGGAAGGCCACATTTTTTCTTTTATATGTTATATCAATTAAAATTTTAAAAACACGATGTATAGCGTGCCATAGTGTACTGTCATTTGTTTGCGACATTATTTAAAAGTACAATTTTTAAAAAGTTATTTTTTTATATGTTTTAGACAAGAAAAAGCTGAAGTGAAACAAGAAATGTTACTATAAAAATATTGAGGTGAGATGTCACGCAGCCTGCCAGAGAGAGTGGCAGGGCTTTACTATGCCCACGGCCTATTCTGCTCTTCTCACCCTACTGCTGTTATTACGTTTGCTCTCTCTATTGTTTTACTATGTTGGTAAGTTGTTGGTACCATAATTAATTTTATTTTCTCTAGCCATTATAAGGCTCTTAGTCTGACTATTTGTAAAAAATAATTAGTTGCACTAGCCAATACATAACATTTTATTCTAGCTATCCACTAGTAAACCTACCCATGCCTGGGGTAGCCCCAAAAATTGTAGTCAACAATACAATAGGACCTATGAATGGATCAGAAAGTCCTGCTTTGTATGTACAACAAGTTGTGCTACGATCAGGAGTTCTACCATGGGCAGAAGATCTTTCGTTGTCGGATGCCTTTAGAGGGCCACTTTATGAAGTTTTCAATTTATTAGAAATCATTCAAAATCATCAAGATGGAGAGAGTTCGAAATCTTTGGGACAGATTTGCCTTCATATCGAAGCTGTAAAGAAAAGAAATCTTAAAAAAGTTGAAGTTCTTCCTGAATATAATTGTTTGTTATTATCACCAGCTAATTTTTGGCAACGAAGCATCGAAGTATTTAATCTGGATACAAATCTTATCGACACTATTTTCTCTTATCAGGTAAAAACGATACAAATGATCCTAAATCTTATTAATATCTTTAGTATGAAAGCGTTAAAAATTTTTTTTTTTTGATAAAATTACAGAATTTTCAGAAAGGAAAAATTAGTACGGCTGAAGTTTTATTTGGTATGAGTCTTAAAGAAACAGGTGTAAAGAGATACCCTTTGAGGGTACGACAAAGAGTACTGCAGTACGCAGTGACGATATTTTTAAAGGAATATGACCCTATGTGTGTATCAAGTTTTAAAAAGTATGTACATTGAAATTTTATAATAACTTAAATTTTTTTCTTACAGTTTTATGAAAAGCTTAAAACAGCGACTTATTAATCATTATCCGTTGCATCAGTCTCAGGATAATAATGGATCATACTCAGTTCCTAACGATGAGACTTTGCATATTTTTTATCCTGGTGAATTTAATTACAGTGATTTTTTCCCATTGACCATGACGTTTGTTGCATTGTTTGTGTACATGTACTTCTCTGTTAGAAAAATTGAGTTGATCAAATCAAAATTCGGAATAGCATTTAGCGCGACTTTCACAGTGATTGCGTCTTTGTCCATGAGTGTGGGTGTGTGCTTTTTTTTCGGCCTGACCTTGAGCTTAAGTGGAAAGGAATTTTTTCCATATTTGGTGATAATTGTCGGTCTAGAAAATGTACTAGTGCTTACAAAGAGTGTAGTAAGCACTCCTGCTCATCTGGATATGAAAATTCGAGTAGCTCAAGGTTTGTCAAAAGAAGGCTGGTCCATTACAAAAAATTTACTGACAGAAGTCACAATTCTGACGATTGGCTTGTTCACGTTTGTTCCTGCCATCCAGGAATTTTGTATTTTTGCCATTGTTGGACTGTTGAATGATTTCTTTTTACAAATGGCATTTTACTCGACAACTCTTGCCATTGACATCCGCAGGGCGGAACTGTTGACTCAAAATTCGAAACTGCATCTACAAAATATTCCTCCCCTCAGGAAACAACAGTTCACAACTACCGTTCCAAATAAAAAACCAAACATTTTCCGATCCAAGTCTCATCCGAGGCTCAATGGAATGGTTCCAACTAATGGTCCTACAAATGTGATCGCACCGAATAACCAAAATACACTTACCTTGGTTAAAATTCCCAAGCGTCTGAGGCTGGTGCATTTTTGGGCAAGAACGAGAATATTTCAGAGAGCCTTTATGGTGTGGATGGTGGTGTGGATCAGCATGATAATATACAATTCCGGAATTATTGAGCACGTCATTCATCTTGGGGAAACTTTGAAACAAGAAACTGGTATTGAAGGCTATTCTATTGAAAGACCTCAAACTATGGATAGATACATCAAAAGAAACACCATGAAACCCATTGTGATATATTCTACCACTCTTCGATCGAGTCAAATAAATGAACAGGTGATGAAACTTGAATAATTACTTCCACTAATATCAAGTGACGAAATAATACGTAAATAAATGCAAAATTTCTTTTTAACTAAAAGCTACAGTGTTATAAAGAATACAACTTTTACACCATTTTTAAATCACACTTTCATGAATTATTTATTGCAAATCCATTGGATGATCATGTTGCGACAATAAAAAAAACAAAAAAAAAACAATTCTCTGTCGACAGCAAAACCCATCTCCAGATAACGTCAAAGAAGAGGTAAATAAATTGCGGCCTGTCGACTTTCCACCCTGGAATCGTTTGTCTCTGTACCATTGGTCCTCTATACTTTCTTCTTACAATATATCCATGGCAGGCGAGCGCATTACGATACTTCCCACGATAAAGCTCGCACACGTGGTCAGTCCCCAGTCAGTTCGTCAAATAAGCAACCCAAATGACGTACAGCAATTTCAATGGCAGAGCTTGGCTACAGCTGCCCTTGATCCTCTGGACTTTTCAGGTTTGTCTTACGACATAACACTTTAACACTATGGTTTAAATAAATCAAGTAACACGAAATACCACAATAACAAAATGATTGTTTAAACTTGTTAATCATATATAATGGTATACATTTTTTTTCTTGCTTCAGATATGGAGGTGCCAATCAGAACCGAGGGCCGGGGTTTCAACACCGACACGCCTTTCATACCCTCAAGTCCAATGGAAATCTTTCTAGCAGCCGTTCTCTGTTTAATAAGCGTTGTCGTCGTAGCTTACACCATGGTCGTGCTTTACCGGTGCATATGTTCGCGCAATTATGCCGAATGGCGAGCAAGCTGGTCTTCATCCCAAGAAAAGGTCAATCAGGATTCCGCTACTCAAGTCGTGCTCGAGGCACTGCCTTTGGTGTTGGAGGGCCACGTCCAGGAGATTGAATGCATCGCTACCGACGGTAACACCGTGGCGAGCTCGTGTCTCGCTGGGCACATAAGAATCTGGGACTCGGCGTCCGGTGAACAACTCGCGCATATCGATCGCAGGCAGTTTTTCAACAGTACGCAGAATGATGTGGTTCAGTCACCGAAAGATCAGGTATGAATGGTGCACGAAAATCATGGATGATTTGATAAAAGAAAAAAGTAATTAATCCCCCAATTTTCAGGAAGAGCTGATGTCAGATTACGAAAGTGGTTCTCCGCCGTCCCGAGGCGAGATGGAGGCGTCAAATTCCCTGGGCATGTATACAAGCATTCCAAAGCGAAAGTCCTCGCCCCTGGGAGCATGCCCGATACCATACCGTCTCAACGGTGCGATGTCGATTCCCATAAACAAGCGCTTCTCCGCGGGTGGCAACAGTTTCGACAATGACTATCAAATCGGGGAAATGTCCTATCGTCGACGCTCGCTCTGCCACAGACTTGATCAAACTTTCGACCTGCCTGACTTGAGGCCCAACATAAACACAAAGTTCACTTCGAATAAATTTGTCGTCTCGAGCTCGCCGCGCCAGCGGTACAATTATGAAAACGGCTTTGACTTTGGCGAACAGTACAAGCAGCTCTTTGAAGATCACAAGAAATCGGCTGTCGACGATAGCGATATGTACAGAACAGGTAGTAATGAAAAACTGGTCTGTAGTCCACCAAGATCGGCTGGTTTAAGCGAATTTGTCGACAGCTCGTTAAGTGTTGACAAGGCATCGGCCGATGTGCCAACCATTTGGTGTATGGATTATCAGGAAAACCTCATAGTTATTGGCTGTGCCAATGGTAGCTTAGAATTCTGGGAAGGTACAACAGGCAAATTCAAGGTACTTGATACTGGTGTTTCCCAATACTTTATTTTCTCCAATGCAAAGATTTATTTTCAATTATGTTATCGTTTCAGTGTTTATTTGACGATGGATCTGGATTAGGTATTTCTGCTGTAAAATTCATTGGAAATCGCGTAGTGGTGGCAAAACTGAATGGATCCATCGATTTTCTTCAGCTTGAAAGTTATAGTGAAGGCCAGCAAATCGACTGGGGCTTTACATCGTATCGAAGAAGTAAGTACAACGTGTAATTTATAAATATTACACTTAAATTTTCATAAAAGCAATAAAAAGAAGTTGCAAGGTCTTACAATTTGTGCATGTTATTCTTGTTTTGTATTTATATTTAATAGATAGTCGTTTCGAACTTAAACTTGTAGTAGGCTCTGGTATGCAGTAGGTGTACTCACTCACTGAAAAAGTAACTAAGAAAAACAAGCTCAACTAAAAAACATTAATATTTCAGCTCACGTCCGAACTAGAAGTGCGGGCTCGCCAATGGATTTTAATAATATAATGCAGTTGGAGGAAGATTTGCGTTGCATGAAAATTGGCTCACACAGAGCTCATCAACAAGCCATCACTGTCTTGGATAGTGAAGGTGGTCGCGTCTTGACTGGAAGTCAAGATCATACTATTAAAGTATACAGGTTCGTTGATACTGTTTTTTTAAATCTTAAATACAATTATTTTAATCGTGTTTAGAACCAACGAAACACATTGTTCATGACCTTTTTTCAATAGGCTAGAGGATCAGTTGCCTTTGTATACCTTACACGGTCACTGTGGGCCTATTACTTGTCTTTTTATTGATAGAGTAAGTCCAATGACATCTGGTAGTGGCTCTCAAGATGGTCTCCTATGTGTATGGGATCTTTCTACTGGTTAGTTTATTGTGATTTCTTAATTATCAGTAATTGTTAACATTGCCTAATCTTACAACAATTATTGTTTTTAATTTTAAGCATAAAATTCTTAAAAAATATATAATTTTTTAATAACTAATCAATTTACGTCAAAGTAATGTAGGTTCAATTAATTTTTACAGGTACATGCATGTACAGTATACAAGCTCATGACGGTGCTGTAGCTGCAATAACTTGTTCGGCATCATACGTGATTAGCATTGGTACTGACGAAAAACTTTGCGTTTGGGAACGTTTCCAAGGGCATTTATTGCATGCTCTTCCAGCGCATAGAGCAGCTTATAGTTTACAAATGGTGATGCTCACGCATCATTTACTTATTACTAGTAACCAGGTAATGATTGTTTAATTTACATGGTTTTTTTCTAATTTTCTGTCTTTAAAAACTTTGTTATAAAATGAATTAATGTTTTGATTAATTTTATAGGGTTCGCTGATAATTTGGGATGTAAGAACTGGCGAACCTATTCGAGAAGTAAGACTGGGACACAAGGATAGTTGTATTTTTGTGAAGCAAATGTTACCGTTACGCGACAGTGTAGTGTGCGACTTTGGCAGACAACTTAGGATAATAAGATTCCCACTTATTTCAGACAAGATGGATTAAAATGAACACCAAGTGAGCCTTCTCTAGTGAAAGTGTTGTATTTTTATGATAAAATTAAAAAGATGACTTCATGATAAACTTTATGGATTTCTGTCTATTTTTTGTAAAGATGGATTCGTAAATATATTTTGTATGATAGAAAAGAACGAAAGCGTGAATGCAATTGTTGAATAATTTTATAATACGTGAATTGTAAAAAGTTTATTTGTACATTGTAAACTTAATTATGCGTACCAGCGGAAAAAATTTTTAATTTTTTAAATAGAAAATGTTTATTAAAAAATATTTTATCTAAAATTGTATGTTGCCGTTCATGGAAGAGGCTAGATTTGATTGTTAAGTAACATAGTTTTAATTACATAGCATTTAATAAAAATATTTTTTGACATCAATTGAATCAGATGTTGTCTAAGTGCATTACTGTTTTTTTTCCCTTATTATTTTTGTTTTTTTCTCCAAGTTTAAATGATCACAAGATGTCTATCTTTTGGCTCAGTCAGTTCTTAAACTAAACAGTCAAAAACTCCTTCTGAGATAAGAATTCTTATTACTTTCGATTTTCTAAATAAAAAATCATATCATTTAACCTCGTGATAATAATTTCTGGTCTTTCATTTAGCAGTAATAAGAAAAACTTCAGTTCATTTTACTGTTAATAAACCATTTCAAAATATTTTCAATCCAGGAGTGGTACTAAATTTTTAGTTGGGATACGGAAAAAAGTGTTTACTATGCCATGTATACGAAAAAGCTTTAGTTTGATCTTATAAATTCTTATAAATATTTTTTAAGTAATTTTATACTGTTAAAAATTGAATATTGTTTCATGAATATAATACTATATTGTTTACGAAACCGAAATTTATGATTTCAAGTTTCAACTACACCATTAAACTATAATAAGAAATTCAATTTATTTTACAGCAACAATTTATTTTAGATACATTATATCTTTCAGAGTTAATTTGCCCACAAAAATGTAAAAGAATATACGAGAACTTATTCACTATTAATATACACTTTTTTGCCTAACAAAGTGGTGTTTAGCTGTGCGTGCACGAATCGGGTAACTTTGAAGCCTTTTTTTTCAGTTTTCTTGGCCTGGCAAAAATTATCATGTTCCCAGTCTACTGTTACTAATAAGAAAACTTGTCTTTATAGCGTTGCACAAACTGACTAATTCTCACTTGGGAAAATGAGAGGTGTATTTTGCTGAGCGTGAAATTCGTAGGACAAAATAACTTATTAAATACGTCACAACATGATTTTTAAATATTTTTTATTCATTTGAAACAGTTGTGCTATAACTTTCGTTAAAATATAATTTTTTGCTCCAGCAAACTTTATTATGAAAAAAAATTAGTGAAAAATTACGTAACGTCTAAACAAGCTAGACACATTTGTTGTTTGGATTTTATTTCTGTCAAAAAGTCAATTTAAAAAAAAATAGATTCTTTCACTATTTTTCTTCATATATTTTTGGTTTTGTATATTTTACTTTTAAAAATCTAAAAGACTGTGAAGTTAAAAAAAAAAAAATGTATATAATTTGAAATAAAATATAATGGTTGCAGTTAGTGTAGGAATAGTATAAGTAATATTCAGTAAACTAAAAAACAATTTTTTTATGATGGATTATAGCGGAATGACTAAAAAAGAATTTGATTGCTTACAACATACACTATTGTCACTTTCAAAATTTGATACTTATTACTTTGACTAATTAGGACGTAACATAAATTTGTTGAGAAATTCAATTCAGGAATGAGGAAGTTTTGTGCCAATAAACTGGCAGAAATTTTCCTTGTCGTGACGTATGATACTGTAATTTATCAAATGTAAGAACCATCAAGATTAATTTGGTAGATAATGTGTTTATCTGGAAAGGGGGTAAACTCGACAACGAAAATGTGCATTCGCTTTTCTGTTATAAGTGGAATTCATTTCAATGATGACAGTTTTAAAGTAAAGTTCGAAGGTAAAAAAAAAGTGAAAGTGGTGTAGATGATCCACAAAATAAAATTGGTTGGGCCTAGGCTGTAACAATTTTTTTAAATTTAGAGAATGGGAGTTGGCTGCAAAGAAGTGTCTGCAATCACGTAAGTGGACAATATTTAAATATGTACATTTTTTAAAGGAAAAAAAAAACTGCATTTTGAGCTTGAGGAACAATTTTGTAAATACTTTCTCTGATATAGTTAATAAATTCTGGTTATGTACATTGAAATTTTATAATAACTTAAATTTTTTTCTTACAGTTTTATGAAAAGCTTAAAACAGCGACTTATTAATCATTATCCGTTGCATCAGTCTCAGGATAATAATGGATCATACTCAGTTCCTAACGATGAGACTTTGCATATTTTTTATCNAGCTTGAGGAACAATTTTGTAAATACTTTCTCTGATATAGTTAATAAATTCTGGTTTGAAAAAATTGTTACACGTTTGGTTGTACAATGTTTGTAATCTTGACTTTTTTAAACTTTATAAATTTTTTAGAAAATACACATTTAGAACATTGCTGATTCTTTTTTTTAACTTCGATTCGATGTAAAATTTTCCAAAATTGCTCATTTCAGTTAATAAAACAAAAATTTTTATCTGTTAAATAATTCATAACGTATTAAAAAAAAGTATTTCATGACTCTGTTTATGTTTGTTTCTAAGATAATTTTAAATTTGTTTTTAGAAATCCTGTTGAACATGAAGTCACAAATTACCGTGTCGCAGCATCTCAGTTTTGTGCCGTTGGTACCTTGTGTATAATAATTTTTACAAATGGCTCAAGTTTTGGCCTGATAACAGTATTACTTGCAGAACTAAGCAAAGAAGACTCGGAAATCAAAGTTTCTTTGGAAGAATTATCATGGATTGGTAAAGTAACTCATTTTTAACGCCATATTTTAAGTGTGTGTAGACTATCCAAAAGTTGTTCTATGACTTCCAACAATTTTTAGCTCTTCTCTGGACGAAGCCTTCTTATGCAGTTCATAGCAGTATCGAATTGAAAAAAAAATTTTTTTTGCCCAACAACAAAAACATTTTTGTGTCATTTTTGCAATTGTCATTGTGTTTGTAATATACAAATCTGTTGTAAGTTCCCAAATAATGATTTTTTATTATTTTTTTCTTCACAACAAGTCTGTTCATCTTAATAATTGAAATAAAAATCATTGATATCCTTGAGACGATGAAAATTTCACGCAAAGATGAAGTAATTTGAATATTTTGTCGGCACGTATCCCTGTGAAATTTTTCAAAAATTATTCATTCAAGTGTCAAAACCTCGAAGAATGTATTATCCGCAAGAGAGTACATTTGTTCCCACGAGATGTAATTTTGAAAGAAATGCTCCTACAGCAGTTGATCGCACAGTTCCATCAATTGCTATTAATCCATCCTCGATAACGCTCTCCAATAACCGTACGCGAATCCGAGAAAAGAGGCGGTCCTTGAAAGACCGTCTACGCGGTAAGAATAACCGTCGCTCTTGTTTCAGGCAGCTTGAATTACTTGCTGATACCGGTCGGCAATCTATTGAGCGGCTTAGCCGGGGATTACCTTGGCAGGCACACGACCCTCGCTCTCTTGGCGACCCCATACCTGGTCGCGTGGGTCTCTTGTCGCTCGGCGTGGAGCGTCGGCGTGCTCTTGGGCTCGATCGGCCTGACCGGCTTGGCCGGTGGACTCCTCGAGGGCACCGCCATCACCTTCACCGCCGAAATCAGCCAGCCCCACTTGAGGAGCGTTTTGTCGTCCACAGCCATCGCGGCTGGCAATTTTGGCATGTTCCTGGAAATCTTCCTCGGCAGGTTCGTCTCGTGGAGGAGCCTCGTCCTCGCCAACATCGTCCTCACGCTTGCCTACGCCGTGGCGATGTACTGGATCCCCGAGAGCCCGCACTGGCTTGCAAGTATGACCGTTATCCAAATACCTTCGAGAAATTGGTCGCGTCATTGTGGTTTTTGTCGAAGGCAAAGGTCGGTACGCGGAGGCCGAAAATGCTTTGGCCTGGTTACGGGGCTGGGCCTTACCGAGCCAAGTGGAGGATGAATTCAACGAGATGCGCGGCACTTTTGACTCAACTCGATCGGCGCCAACTACCATCACCAACGTGGAAAGCTTCGATGACTTTGCCGAGGAACCTGGAACAAAGAGCATTTACCAACGTTACCTCCAGAGATCGTTCGTAGTTCCGTTCGTTTTGGTCGGTTTTACCTTTTTTCTGGCTGCCTTCAACGGTAGCAATTCCGTGTTGACGTATTCGGTCATCATGTTTGGAAAGATGCGGTCACCGATTGACGAGTACAATGCAGGAATCATCGCTAGTTTTTTCAACTTGATCGGGACAACCATGTTTGCGTTTGCCATTAGCTGCACGGGCAAGAGAAAACTAGTGTTATTGACAATGTCCATGTCAGGATTAGCGTACATTGTTAGTTCGGTTCTCACATTTTTTTTTAAAAACACAGATTCGGTGAGCGAAATTTACAATTGGATTCCGACAGTATTTGTTTTGTTGTCTACCTTCCTGTCGGCTGTTGGAGTAAACATGATTCCTTACATCCTCACTGGAGAGGTTTTTTCAATTCACATGACCAATTTAGGTACGGGAGCTTCCGTTGCACTTTACAACGTATTCACATGGCTGAACAATAAGACGTACTTGAATATTGTCGAAGGTGTTGGTATTTCGGGGACATTTCTCTTTACGGCTTTGATCAATATTTTTGGATGCGTTGTGTTGTACGTAGTTCTTCCTGAGACAGAAGGGAAGGCACTAAAAGAAATTCAGGAACATTTTTCAAAGCCAGTTAAATCAAACACAATGAAGGTAACACAATGAAGTTTTAACTGTATTATAAGCTATAATTATCAAATAATTTGTCATTAACGAATAATTTATAGAAAACGTTTTTTTAGATGTATCTAGAATTCAATTAGAAAAAGTAATTTTTCGAACTTAGAAGTCAAAGTCCCTGTAAAAAGTACGGGTGTTACTGAAATTTGTTTGCGTACCTCACTCTTAAGTACATAGAGTTGTGTATGTTTAATAAATAAATTATAGTGTTATTAAAGTATAAAAACCGAATGGTTGAAAAAAAAATTACTTTCCAAAACTTTTCCAAAAGTTGAGAAACGTCACGATTTGTGGAGATTCAAAGTATTTTTGTGACGTTTTCTCTTGACCACGAGTTATGTTGTAATATAAAAAGTGCAATTTGATCCAAATTGCCACAACCTAGTCCAATCGATAGAAAATAAAAAGTTGTCACAATAAAGTGCCATTTTTAGCAGGACAGGGAATCTTCTACTATCCAAAAATGGACCCCCCCCAAAAAAAACGTATTGCCTGTGCAAAAATTTTTGAAGGGCCATTTTCGGGCTCTGCTCTTAGTTGTTTTAACGACAAGGTTTTTGTTGTAAAGCGCTGTTTTTCACAGTTACCTATCAAATTTAACTTGCTAAATCTTGCTAAATCTTTAACAGTAAATCATCTCCAAAAAGTTTATGAAACACTCGAAAAATTATAAGATTACATTTTCCATTGTTTTTGTAAGATCTCGATAACAATCTCTGACTCCTCGGAATAAATTATAACTTTTTACAAACTTTTGTGAGATTGCTCCTATTACAACAAAAGGGTACGGTAGACAGGAAAGTGCTCGTACGATTAATGCCAGGTGATAGCTACATCTGACCGTTCGATATCTGGTAAGTGGATTCTATGGAATGTTGGTCGGGTGTGCATTCGTCTCCATTGCTTCAATGTGGTCGGTTAAGATACCTACTCAAAGTGCTGCTAGCGACCCAAGAGCCATTGAAATGTACAATTATATTTACGGCATTGGCCATTATGCATAGGTACGACTCAATGGGTACGACTATCTTAATGGAACGAATCTTGTAGTAATTCCGGGAAGTGTCAGATGATCGCGACTAGTTCATAAATCCTTGATTTTTATACTTGGTGTGTCTAAAATGGAAGTTAATGTTATTGGGACATCCATAGGAGGTTTATATGGGATACGGCCCTTGTGTTTGCGTAGGTTCGTTCGCGGAGTTGGACTTGCCAGGCTTGATGAGCTTCCTGTAAGAATAGAAATTTTACGCCCGAAGAAGGTCCATTCTACTGAACTTTGACATCGATTGCTGCATACGCCAGTTCGCGAAAAGCTGAGACGTCGTCAAGTCGCGTATTTACATCAAGTAATAATCCGTAAGTCAAAATTCCAATGGTTGTAAGTTGTGTTTTTCACGCGGAAAGCTGGTTTGCCAGCCATCGAGTTCTCGTATCCAAATCCCACCGTGGCCGGATAATCGACCTTGCCGTAGGCCGTTGGTATACCGGGTGCCGGCAGCCGCGTGCAAGTGCCGTGAAAAACGCCGCTCCGCTGAGTAGTGCCCTGGAAAACACGTGCACGCTTGCCCAAGTATTGTGCACACGGGCTTGTATATTATAATGTCGCAGCTCTTGTGTCCCGCGCATTATACAATATACCTATACACGCCGAGCACGTAACATTACGCCTGTGCGTATATGCCTCGGTGCAGCGAGAGTAGAGCGTCGCAGGACGAGGCGAAGGGGGAGATCACCCGCCAGCCGACGTTTGTTCTCAAAAGTTGCAGTAAGCCGATCGCGAGTGCGCCGAGCTGGGGAGAGATTGGCTTTCGGCCAGTCAGTAGGCCACTCCAAACGACCGCCGGTCCTCTAGCTGCCGCGCGATTTTTCTTTCGAGCTGCAAGTTTCACTTTCCATGACCGTCTGAAAAAGGCTTTGACGTTCTTCGTTTTTTTTTTTT